GGTCATCAAAAGCAAGACAAGTGAACAAGCTTTATCATGATACCAAAAATTCCAAATGCCCAAAAATTGACGAGCGTCTGATTCCACCGCGTCGTGACACATATTATTTTACGCTGCCACTGACATGGGACCACAGTACCACGCGACGAGCACATTTGTCAAACGTCCCTGCCATACGCACGGTCTTGTAGAAGTTTTCTGATAACGAATTCAACACGAAAGCTTGCCTGGGGTAGATTTTATGACGTATTCATTACCAGTGTGCTGTTAAAAGACACAATGGACAATGGAGACTGGTGAGATAACCTTAGAGATATTTTCCACTTTTTCTTGCACTTTTCGTTGTTTGCTTCTTCAAGGGCGTAATAACTTTTAAAAGAAACTGTAGACACAAAGGCTGGCATGAACAGGTTGAAACAATGATGATGGTGATGATGATGATGATGATGATGATGATGATGATGATGATGATGATGATGATGATTACGGTAACAAATCAATATTTCCTTTTCCCCAGCTTCAGATAAGCCATGACGATTTCGACAACACTCTCAATGTCCACGTCATTCAAGCCAGGAACCTGAGACCACGTGATCTGAACGGCCTATCGGATCCTTTCGTCAAGCTGTATCTCCTACCTGGAAGAGGGTCAGTTCAGGCTCGAGTTTCGACAATACGCTACCTCAGAATTACAAAGTTCTCTCTGACATTGTTGGCTATTGTGAGTTACTAAGACCATGAGATCAGAAACCAAATGTTGCATCTGCTCTATTTAAACTGTAAGGTTATTCGAAGTCGATATCAATATATTCAAAGAATTGCATTCGAAAAATCTTAACAAATTGTGAAACTCAAAATTGCTTAAGTCAAATTTCTCAAAACTAGGTACTGAGCAGATAGAACTTTGTAATTGTGAGGCAGCGAATATGCATTGATAATGGGCTAAGTCAGACTAAGTCCAACACAATTTAGGCGCTCTGTCACTGCTTGTCAAAGCCAGCCCGAACAACAGCCATGGGCAATAAAAGTTGTCTAAGACACGGGCCGGAATATATCCGGATTAAGTATTTCTGAATATGTAGCGAGCCCAAGCAGGAGAAAATTGGATGAAATTAGTAGAAATACACAATCTCTCAAAAGTGAGACTAATAAACTGACACTAGAGCATAGTCTTGTATCATTTCATTGAATACAATATTAGATCCAGGCGCCGAAGAAGCTGGTTTTTACTTTCAAGACAAACATTTTTTTTTGGTGTGTGTGTGGGGGGGGGGGGGTTTATTGATTATCATCAAATCATCATGGGCCACTTTCATTATCAATCATTGGTAGGTTCGCGAGCCACACTGAAACTATGAGTGTTAACTCTCACTTCAGTTCAGTTTAGTTTTAGAAAGAGTTATACAGCACGTGCACCACAAATGGGTCATATAAAACCAAAGATTAGAGGTGTTATAGGAGAGTTACTTACAAAAGAAATGAAGGAGGAACAATACAGCTGACAGTTGTTTGATAGGCAAGAAGGAGAAAACCACACACAGAGCTGATTCCGGGGCCCATATTGATTGCATGCGTGTATCTGTGTTCATTTGTTTGTGTTTGTGTCTGTGTGTCCATGTTTGTGTTCGTGTGTTTGTGTTTGTGTGTCCATGTCTCAGTTCATTTGTCTGTGTTTGTGTATCCATGACTCTGATCTTCCACTTCGAAGTTATCATTTTCATGTGACTGTGGAGTGAACGCATGCATCAGTGCTTTTGCATAGTTTATGCGTGTGCGCGCATGCGAGTGTCTCCGTCTGTCTGTGACAATTCTGCGATCCACCCAGCCTTGATTGTCCCTTATGGAGAGTGTTGAAGCCCACCGGCCTCCTTATTGATCTGTTTATATTGATGGGGGCATAAATTATGTACAATCAATCATTTACAGGCAATCATTACCATCAATCATTACCATCAATCATCTTTTTTCCAGGCCCGAGAACAAGCGTCGCACAAAGCACATCGCCCGGACCTTGAACCCTGAGTGGCACCAGACGGTCATGTTCCAAGACGTAGCTCGCCTGGAGTTACAGAACAAAGTACTCGAGATAACCGTCTGGGACTACGACCGTTTCAAAGCCAACGACTTTCTGGGAGAGCTCATTATCGAGCTCAGGGGTGAGTGGGTTTAATTTTTTTTTTATCTTAAATCAGACATAGGGTAAGATTTGTTTCTGCTTTTTTATTATTGGGTTCTTTCTTTCAACCAACCACCGATTAAGCTTTTGCATTGGTGCTTTCAGTACGCGTATCTATGTTCACCTTGAGAGATCATTTTGGTAAAGAAAATTTGAGTCCTTCATTCGGAATTTACTTGACCTCCTAGCACATACGGGGACTCCGCTCTTTGTGAGTCCACACTTTAGATCATCCTGGTGCTATGATGTCGTTGCCATCCTGATAAGATCGGATAACTACAAAATTTTCGATTTTGACAATTTATTTACGCGAAACGTATTCTAAAAAACGTGTGTCTATGCTGGTAAAAAATTATTTTAATTAAACAACCAAAACTGGACCTATGAACAATAGCCTATGAAAATCAGATAATTGTAAATCGTCCTTTATATAAATCAGTTGTTTTCTTTCTCCAAAAAAATGTACACGATGTCACTTTTTCTATCTCGAAGGCGACGATATGCGAAAGACGCTTTTAGTTTATTTTAAGAACAAATGATTTAAATAAATCTTTATTTATACTCCGCGTGGTATGGTTTCAATGCTCCTTTTGACATTCCTTTGTACTCTACGGGGCAGGACAGATCCCCAGTTTATGATCTACCCGGGATAAAACTGACCCAAGTGACTGAAAAGCACAGAACAATCCGCAGAACAACTTCGTTCAAGTTCACCTCTATGGGATTCAAACCTTAGTCATCCGCATCGTAATTCAGCATAATAACGAATGAGCTAACAGCGCATCCGGCTGTTGTGAGTGGAGGTTACAGGGTAGGGTTGGCTGACATCATTAAGACACTCAAAAGATAGTCTCTGTTAACCGACGTCCATAATTGTCAATGAAAAGGAAGGACGCCGAAAAGAAAGAAAAGAAAATCGTTTAAACAAAAGATTAGTGAAGATGTAAGAGGCTGGGTAACTTGAGAAATCATGAATTAGACGTGTCTGAAGCCTTAATAAACGATACAAGAAATAAATACATGTATTCGCACTGTGTTTTGGACATTAAGATTATATGTTTTTAAAAAAATGTTATGCAGAGTATATATTTCAGGCATCGTTTTGTTGGAGCTTTTTTCTTTCTTTTTTTTTTCTTTTAGGCTTCAGGTCCAACAACAATTGTGATGTTGTTTTTGGAAATTGATATGATCCCTATCAAACGAATTTACAAGTAATTCCCATAAGGGAAAAAACAGGGAACTTTTGTTTGTAAAAGTGTTTTTAAGTTATCGGTCCTGGTCGACAGAGCAAACGACACTCGAGAAAATCAGGTCGAATTCCATTGTGAGTGCTGAAAAATAAGCCACCCAAAGGAAACAGTCTGTAACCATTATAATAGTTTCGATAAAGTTCAGTCCATCTAATTCAGCGCACTGCCAGACGTCTTGAAATTCAATAGTTTGTTATTGTTGTTGTTGTTGTTGTTGTTGTTGTTGTTGTTGTTGTTGTTGTTCTTCTTCTTCTTCTTCTTCTTCTTCTTCTTCTTCTTCTTCTTCTTCTTCTTCTTCTTCTTCTTCTTCTTCTTCTTCTTCTTCTTCTTCTG